GGGTACAATGGCGTATGGCATTTTACTCTAAATATGTGCACACTTATTTGCCTACGATACCCACAATTTTTGGATACGCAAATGTCCAATACCAGGATAAGAGACCAGTTAGTGGTGGGAGCGTACTGCTCGATAGCATGCGAACGAGATTGTTGTCCGTTGTATGATTCTTACCTTTTGGTATTTCAGTTTGTTCTCTTTGGGTTTGTACGATTTGCAGGTCCGTTTCCCGTACCCGGCCTCAGAATTTGGAGAAGACCAAAATGCTCCCTCCTGAAAACGAGTACCTCAAATTAGAACGTTACTTTAATACGTCGCCAACTCGCCGTTTTTCATCTAATGGGCGGAAGTCTAGATAAACATCAGTGCGAATGTACGAGCTTATAGCTTTTGAGGTCAAGGTTCGCTAATTGATACTTTCAAAATATTGGACCTATTTTTCAAAACGAAGTGGATGATCAAGAAGAAGTGAAATAATGGATTTCTGTTGACTCACTGAAGTATGTAAATAAGGCCATGCAAACAATCGTTAAGCGCAAGCAAAATGGATGATGAAATCAAAGGAGAAAGCAATTGCGCAGAGGGCTTTTTAAACAACTATCGCTGCAATTAGAAGAAAAGGAGGGGAGGAGGGGAAAAAAATTAAAGAAAGGATCAAACCTGCAAGAGGGATTAAAACTTTTCAACGAAACTTTTTCGCCACGAAACTAAGATGATGGGGTTAAGAATATAAGAAATGAGAGCGGCGAAGAAAAGAAAAACGAAATTGATTTAACAAAAACCTACAAATGGTTATTAATAAAGGAAGAAAATGGAAGGGACATGAGAGTACGCTTATCAAATTAACGGTACAGAATTTCAATGTCACATACATGCACGCAATGTCACTTACACTCTTTATAACGACAAGCTGATTTACCCGATCATAGATCGGGTAGGGCGTATTTGTGTTGAGGTTGAAAATGTGGGTAGTTAAATGTAAATGGGGGATTTAGTTGAGAAGACATGCAATTATAGAAAAGCGTCACGTAAGCAAAATAAATAACACCTATTGGCCGGCATTCTTGTCGCCCCTGAAGGCCGCCAGTGATGGGGCGCCCCAGAAGATCTCCATTGATGGGGCGCCCCAGAAGACGGCCAATGATGGGCGCCCCAGAGGCCACCAGTGATAGGGCACCCCAGAAGACCACCAGTGATGGGGCGCCCCAGATGACCACCAGTGATCTGGGGCACCCCAGAAGATCACAAGTGCATTGGGTGCACCAGAAGACCATGTGATGGTGCGCCCCGGAAAACCACCAGTGATGGTGCCCCCCCCCCCCCCGAAGACCACCAGTGATGGGGCGCTCCAGAAGACCTCCAGTGATGGGCGCCCTGGAACACCTCTAGTGATGGGGCGCCCAAAAAGACCTCCAGTGATGGAGAGCTCGACCCCCAGTGATTGGGCGCCCGGAAGACCTCCAGTGATGGGGCGCCCGGAAGACCTCCCGTGATGGGGCGCCCACGCATGGGCGTCGCCAGGATTTTTTCTAGAGGGGGAAAATGCTTGTATTTCTCAACACATTCTCGATTTATCAGTTTTAGAGGGGGGCAGAGACATTTTGCCCCCCCCCCCCCCCCCCCCACTCATTAAATTTACACCACTTTGTCTTCGCGCCTCTTCTTCTTTTCTTTTTTTTCCATTTTTTTCTTCCCTTTTGTTTTTGGGGTTTTTTTGCTTTTCCGGGGGGGGCCAAGTGCCCCCCCTCGCGACGCCCATGCGCCCTGGATGGAGACATAACAGTTGATATACGATTGGATTCTACGGTGGTGTTGTCTAAACTGTTGAGAGTGGACTCCGTTAAAGCCAGAGCTGGGAGAAGATATGTTGGGCCGTATATGGGATGGCTATACAAGTCCATGGACAATACTGAAAGACATCATGACTCTACTGCGGACACGACTTTCACTCACACAAGACCACCACTGACGCCCACGAAGACTGCCATTGATGGGTGCCCTCGAAGACCACGAGTGATGGGGCGCCCAGAAGATCACAAGTGTATGGGGCCTGCCAGAAGACCATGTGATTGCGCGCCCCGGAAGACCACATGGCCGGGGCGCCCCAGAAGTCCACCAGAAGACCTCCAGTGATGCAGAGCTCGACCTCCAGCGATGAGGCGCCCCAGAGGACCACCAATAATGGGGCGCCCAGAAGACCACCAGTGATGCCCCCCCCCCCTCCCTAGCTGAAAACCACCAGTGATTGGGCGCCCAGACGACTATCAGTGACGCCCCAGAAGACCACCAGGGTTGGGCGCCCCCCCCCCCCCCCCGGCCCCGGGCAGAAGACCACCAGTGCAGATTGGGTGCCCAGACGACTACCAGTGACGCCCGAGAAGACCACCAGTGATGGGCGCCCTGGAAGGCCACCAGTGATGGGGCGCCCCTGCAGAAGTCCACCAGAAGGCCTCCAGTGATGGAGAGCTCGACCTCCAGTGATGGGGCGCCCGGAAGACCTCCAGTGGTGGGGTGCACGGAAGACCTCCAGTGATGGGGCGCCCTGGAAGACCTCTACGGTGGTGTTGTCTGAACTGTTGAGAGTGGACTCTGTTAAAGCCAGAGCTGGGATAAGATATGGTGGGCCGTTTATGGGATGGCTACAAGTCCATGGACAATACTGAAAGGCATCATGACTCGATCTGCTGAGAACACGTTCACTCACAGTCTGCCATTGTATTTCCACAAGCAGTCACGCTGTGTATTGAATGGTAGTCGGACTGTATCAATTTGGGACACCAGATCTTTGGATTGAGGGTCCCATACTGATGAGACATACTCTGTAGTTGGCCGGACGAATTTTGTAGGCTGTCGACCTCTTTGATTTTAGCCGGGCATTTCCTCGGATTCCTACGGAGTGTGATGTTGGCATTTTTAATAGTGCGAATGAGGGTCCCACTGATTGAGTAATCAGTAATGGCTTCAAATATGTTTTTGCATTGGTGCATGACCATTATAAGTTCAACTTGGGCCGGGTTAAAGGCAGTGGCGTAGACAGGAATTTTTCAGTGGGGGGCGCTGGGGGGCGTCATGTACGGATCAATGATAATTTGTTAAGAAACTCAAAATCTCGATAAGTGGGGGGGGGGGGGCGACTGGGGGCGACAAGGTTTCATAGGGGGGCTGTCTCCCCCCCCCCCCCCCCCCCCCCCACCATGAAATCGTCAGCGAGTAGTACTATATCTAATGACATATGGTCTGGGAGGTCGTTGAATAAAAGAGAAATCACGAATCCAGGATAAGAGTTGACCACAAACGCCTAAGAAATGAAGCTTCAGCAGGCACCCAAGGCTTAGGAGAAGTCTAAGAGGATATGACATCTATTTGTTCCTTGTCACGAAGCCCTGGGCATGGCATGGATGCACAAAGCACAAGTAATAGTTGCGACTCATAAAAGCTATATTGTCTCTTCCTTAAGCCAAACCGTTTTACAATCAGCAGATGAGCTTCCAAGATGTTTATGGTTTGACTGTGTATTATGCTGTATGAGCTGGCAGGCTATATGTCAGGGATATGGGACAGTAATTGGAAGGCTTGGTTGCCCCTTTTTTAAGACATAGGTGTGGGTTTGTTTTTTTAAATAGTTGTAACATCAGCTTATTTCCAGGCATGATGAATTTTGCCTTGATGGAGGGTACGTACAGCCTCGAAAAGAAGGGTACGGACCGGTATCACATCAGCAGCTCCTACACTTTCAAACGATATGCAGAAAGGTGTTGAGTGAGGTTTGATGCTTGAAGAATTTTCTGCATGAACACCTGCACAACTTGATGAGAAACATGGGAACAGCTTGATGACTAGGACTGGGATCAAAAGGTACGGCAAGCTAGAAGAATCTTCACCGGGCCTGTACTGAAACAAACTGGTCATTCGGTGGACCTTGCTGTTGCATATGGCTGCTCTGGATTATACCATCTTTCAGGAGCGATGTGCAACACCAGCACGTCAGCGCTTGCTTTTTATAAACGATCAAAATATCTTGGGATTGGCGGCCATTTCACCACCGTAAGTTTTACGACGGTACCTCTCTACATAACCGGTTTTCTTCCATAGCCAATCATTCTTCTTGGATCTTCTGGCTTTCACGTAGTTGACTTCCTGAAAAATATTAAAGTTTGAGTTGTCTGATAATCCATGGCTGGTTGAATCTGGTGGTAAACATTTTTTGATGGAACGTGGTCATTGCTGATTTGAAGTAGGCCTATAGGCATACATCAAATCATCAACGACCACGTTCCATAGGCTTAATTGGTGGAAGCATGGTTCCTAACTTTTTAACACGAACTCTCAAGTCTCGTGGTCATAGTGGATATCCTATCGTTAGTAAATAGCGGTGAAAGGGGGAGTATTCGACCACCGTAAGGAAAATTTGCAGCCTAGTGGAGTGCAGATCTAAGTTGACCATAATCATTATGACATGATCATGCATGGACTTATTATGTTGGCAGCATGCATGTAGCATCAACATGGGCGTCGCGAGGGGGGGGCAAGGGGGGGCACTTGCCCCCCCCCCCCCCCCCTGGAAAAGCAAAAAAAAAAAAAAAAAAAAAAAGGAAGAAAAAAAAAAGAAAAAAAAAAAAAGAAAAAGAGGCGCGAAGACAAAGTGGTGTAAATTTAATGAGTTGGGGGGGGGGGCAAAATGTCCCTGCCCCCGTCTAAAACTGATAAATCGAGAATGTGTTGAAAAATACAAGCATTTTTTGGCAAAAAAATGTTTTGCCCCCTCTAGAAAAAATCCTGGCGACGCCCATGAGCATCAACCCTAGTCAAACTCAGACTGGGACCCGTAATCCCCCCCCCCCCCCAGCTGGCTACTCCACTGTTTATAGAAAGGTTCTTATATAAGGTTCATGTGGTTTCGCAAAGTATTGTGGTTCACATGAGAAAACCATGCGGCTTGCATTTTTTTTCAATCGTTTGCTAAATTAACATAGCGCCCTCTAGCTGTATGAAAACAAAAGTGCGAGGCTGTAAAACAAGAGGGCGCTGTTCCAAGCATGTAACTTGTAAAATTTACTTGTAAAATGTTTGGACTTTAGTTAGCTAATTAGTAACTCTCTTAAAAATTGAAAATCACAGCTACAATTTCGAATGTGCAGTGCTCACAACATCAACTTAGTTTCGAGGAACTTTGAGCGAACTGTAGTGAGTAAGATTAAGAAGCTTAGGCCTACCGCCTGTACCGTAAATATTTAACGCACGCTGCAGTGCAGTGTAGTGCTTTTTCGGTAATCCTTACTTTTATGACACCTCTATTTTGTACGAGTTCTGTTCAAAACTGACTTTGGCAGATGACTCTCCAGTACCGGTAATCCTTATCTTTAGGACACCTCTATTTTTTACCAGTTCTGTTCAAAACTGACTTTTGCAGATGACTGTCCAGTCATGCCAGTACCAAAGTGACTTTTGCAGGCTAAACTAAAGCAGTCTTTTTTCTTCAGATAAATTCATGTTATTGTTAGTTGTAATTTTGAAAGCACTTTCAAAGAAAATGTGACTTTCCTACCCTTTTTTGCAGTTTGCCATCTTGGTTTTTAAGTCAGTTTCTGTTCGTCATCGTCGTCTTTCTCCCTTAATTTCCCTCTAAAATCAAACCTGCTGACATTCAAGAAGGTGTCATACTGTTCAGATATATGACAAGAAATATCAGAATGTCACTTTTTAGTGTCATTTAGTCAGCTCTTTTGGTGAGTCTGTTAACTTTATATAGGAATGGGGTCCTAAAAGTAAGGATTACCCCAGTATCAAAGTGACTTTTGCAGGCTAAAGAAGTCTTTTTTCTTCAGACAAACTCATGTTAATTATAATTTTGAAAGCACTTTCAAAGAAAATGTGACTTTCCTACCTTTTTTTGCAGTTCGCCATCTTGCTTTTTAAATTTATTTTCTGTTTGTCATCATCGTCTTTAACCCCTCATAAATCAAAACCCTGCCCTCTTTCTACAAAATCAAACCTGCATATTCAAGAGGTGTCATTGCCAAATGTTCAAATGTGTCAATAAATATCAGAATGTCACTTTTGAGTGTCATTTAGTCAGCTGTTTTGGTGAGTCTTTTAACCTTATATAGGAAAGGGGTCCTAAAAGTAAGGATTACCGCTTTTTCATTTGTTTGGTTTTAACGCAGCTAGAGTAGGCTTATTATTAAACTCCAGCTTAACAAGCTCATCAGGATCAGAATTCACATGTGAATTCCTTATGAGGTTGTTATCAAGCTGGAGTTACTCAAGCTATTACGCAGCACAAACTTTTGCTCAGATCAGCACAAACTTTGGAAAAAGTGTTGCAACCTGACGCCACTTTCGAAACAGAACAATTTTTTTGCTTACCTTGTACCTCAGAGAGTAGGCCTATACTTTCATGTGAGAACTGTAAGGAATATGTTGAAAAAGTCTTGGAAAAAATGTTGCAACCTGACACCACTTCCGCGATTGTGTACAAAGTCTATGGAAAATTTGATAAACCTGTGTGAAGAAATAAAGTAGCAACAGGTTGCAACATTTTTTCCAAAGTCTTTAAGAGAGATGTGTAGGCGAATGTTCATGATGTGTGGCCAAATTAGTGAATGTTTACATGTCACTGCATGTTGACAGCCTCAACCGACGAGGTGGAAACATGCGGTGACATTAGTCCGAGTAACTAGGACTCTACGAATCGCCTTTTTTAACATTTGGTCTCAACACAGCCGCCAAATAATCTTTTTTTTTTATTTTAAATAGTTAGTTTTGTTCTGTTTTAAGTCGATTCTTTGCTTCGTGAATCATTCACTCTACATGTCAAATTCCTGATAAGCATTGGAGCTGGAGTTTCTCAGACCCAAGGTTTATGCTTAACCAGTTCGCGCCAGGATTATTTTTACAAGAACAGAACGAGGCGCAGGATTACTTTTCACTCGACCTCAAGCCAAGCGGGTTGAAGCCATCACCCTCTGGCAGCACACTCACATTTCCGGCTTTGCTCGCTGCAAACGGGTCGCTGACAGATATTTCCGGCCTCGTTCCCTACGTGTTTATCCGTCATCCGTTCTGAATACCTAAACCTTTGCGTGTATACATGCCATCCAGCTAGAACTTGTTAATAGCAAGTGGTTGGATCGTCGGATTGTCCTGAAAAATAGCCCGGTCGGACGGCCATTTTTGAGGGGGAAAAAGGCCTCCTCCTTCCCTTTTTTAAAAGGCAGGACGCTACAAATATTTTTTGTTTTATTTGGCCTAATGGTGAAATTAAGACCTGGTGTAAGTTCGTGAATATGAAACTGTATGGAGTGCGCACGTGTAGTACCAGGTGTCAGTTCGTTAAAACCAAAATAATGCAGTTCTGTAAAGTACGCTTGCGTGCCGGGCACTTACACACAACTGAGTGTCAGTTCATGGTGTCGGTGGACGGTGACGAATTATCTTGAACTTTATGAAAGATTGGCAGTATATGTTTCCCTCTCGTTTCTATTGCAGTATCAGTTATCTTCAGGAGACAACTTTCTCAAGACACAAACCTCCACCATGAAGTACTGGAAAGAAGCTGCCACTGTTATCCTTGCTGCTAGATTTAGAAACCCTGGGTCTATCTGCCACCCTGCACCATCGGCTGCAAGTAGAAAGCCTACAGAACAGGAACATAGCACCACAACTGGCTTGGTGAATGCATGTTTTGATTACAAGGTTCTGATGCTTCAACGAACCCATCATAGCTCATTCTTTGCAGGAGCTCAGGTCTTCCCTGGTGGTGGGATAGACGAAGCCGATTATTCACCCAAATGGATGGAGCTCTTTGCTGAAGTTGGTATCCGTATCCCGCAGGATTTTGGACCGATGGTCAGCAAACAGCACGAAAGGCCACCCATGATAGCAGCTGATAGAGGCTCTCCAGTACCTAGCGATATAGCCTTCCGGATCTGTGCCATCCGGGAGACATTTGAGGAATCTGGGGTTTTGCTGCTCAAACAGTTCAGTCATTGTCACCCGGCCACTGATAGCATGCCATCAGTTCAACAGAACAATTCATCTAGCACTCCAGATATCAGTGTTGAGACATCCAAAGAATGGAGACATCGTGTCCATAACAATGCAGCTGAATTTCTTGAGATGTGCCGAGAATTGAGAAGTCTTCCAGATGTGTGGTCGTTGGCAGAGTGGTCTGACTGGCTAACACCATCTGATATGAGGAGAAAACGCTATGACACAATGTTCTACCTGTGCTGTATGGACACACAGCCTTCTGCTTTGCACGATGATAAAGAAACCATTCAGTTACAGGTATGTATTGATGTATGTGGCTGGTTGGTGGCTATCTGCTCTTTATCTGACTGTCTTTAGCTGGCCATTAACATCCTGTAAAGTTTCTGCATGTCATTAAAAATCTTCTGAGAGGTTGGAGGCCTACCACTCGTAATTTATACCAATTTGTTTTTACACAATGGCTACTCTATGAGCTTCATGCCTACGGTATCTGTAACTGGAGTGTACATCATGTACATGTACTTGTACAAAAAATTGTTGAGTTTCTTTTTAGATTTATTTCTATTTGATATTAAACCTTTTATTATCCACAGTGGGTGACTCCAAGCCAGTCACTGGCCCAGTATTCCGAGGGGGAATTCTTCCTGCCTCCTCCCCAGGTGTATGAATTCCAACGTCTCTGTCGCTTCCCAAAGCTGTCTGCCTTGTTCAACTTTAGCCAACAGAGGGCACTGTTGGGATGCCAGCGTTACCTTCCTGTCAGGATGAATTGCTCCAACGGGGTGATAACGACATTGCCAGGTTGGTAGATGTGCAGTCACATGCTTATCACTGGCACTGCATTTATCCATTTAATAGCATTTCCATTCAATGTTTTGGGGGCACCGAAGATGATGACATATATACATGTACGTGTAAGGCCGGTGCCATATGAAATTTGAACTCCTATGAAATCTGGTCCCTCATACCTTATATGGACGGTAACTCTCGCACGTGACCTTTCACTGTCCTATTTAACTCCACTTTGATACATGTAGGCATGCGCAACACAAGCAGTGAATGCAAATTTCATAGAGTCCAAACTTCACACCACACCGGTTCAAATTCATCACATCAACCACTGGAGCTTCATTGTACATGTAATGTTCGCTGTTACCCTAAGGAATTCATTTGCACTGAAAGTCACATGAAGTGTGGATTAGTTTGTAGTCCTATCGTGGTATTGCTGGCTGTATCATGTGGTATTTACCGAGCTGAAGTGAGGAACCAAAGGCATGTACAATGGTGGGACAACGTTTGGTGATGTTCTGAACTGAAAATCAAAACCACTTGAAACTTTCACATTGCAGCGATCTAGGCAAACAAAACGGTTAACATTAGAACGTGCGTTTGCAACCATAGTGTTTTTTGGCTGATCTGATAGTTTACTAATACGCTCAATATTGACCCGATCAGATACATGTATGCTGATCCATTTGTTGACTATATACACTGTGTACAACAGTATCATTGACCATGTTTTGTTTCTTGTCTTTAGGGGATCATTTGTATCCTGACCCGCTCATACTGCAAACCATACAAGATGAACTCATTCCACAGATTGAGGGAACTATTGAGGAGAATACAGACACTAGCAAGCCACTTCATCGTCAGATGTTTGCATTGAGTACTGTACCAATGTGCCAAGCAATGTGTAGCTTCACATTACCTTATGGTCATTGTGCACCGCTACCATATCAGGAATGTGTGGACTTACATAGCCAGAGCTCCAAGCTCTAGGTTGTGTTACGTGACCATAGAACAGAGATTTCCTGTTTGAATAGGAGGACAAAGGAATTGACTGGAAAGGTTTAAATTTAAACGTGCTAGGCAGTCAATGTCTTTGCTCAGCCGTAGAGCAAGGAAATTGATTATCCTATAGATTTGTAGGATTTCCTGTTTCAACAACAATCAGATGAAACTCATTAATTGCCATGCAGAAACTTCAAACAAACTATTCAGTTTTGTAAACTTTAAATCGATACGAATCTTCAGAAACAATGGGTTTTTTTCTCAAAGACAGTTGTTAATTCACAACATAATTAACAACTTGTGATAGTTTCATTTGAAGAGTTATTTCAAAAACGTGAAAGTTTCTCCTTGCTACCTAAAGTCAGTTTCGATGGCTGTTACATGTACATGTACATGTATATAGCTGAGCACAATTTAATAATGCAATAAAGAAATATATGAAGTCTAGAGGCAGCCGTTATATCGTTTTCATTCTTAATAGTATCCAATGCAACATGAAAACCAAAAACTTTCACCACTCCAGACAGTATCTAAAGAACTGTCTCTGTGTCAATCAGTAAGTTATATCATTTATTGATCTCAGACTTAAAGTACTCTCCAAGAGAGTACTTAACGAAACAATAACCATGCAAACTTTTCACTTTTTACAAATGGGTATGTGGCATTTTGGAAATGAACTCTTCATATATTGAAATTGACATCAACCACATTGTGCACGAATGAAGGTCAAACAGATGTCTCTCTCTTGAGAAATTCACACTCGGAAATGTTGCACATTTGATATTGAAAATAAATAGCTCTAAACACCCGACAGACATTGTGAGAAGTGGTGAGTTGCAAGCTGTCAAGGATTATTCAAACCTGGAATATTTAATTCTGAATTTAGTATTTATATTTGTTTTAGTGCCTCAATTCATAGTCAGATAACAAGGAATCAAGGCAGACCCTTACTTGGCAAAGTCTGATTTTATTTATTTCTTCTAAAGTAAAATAAAGCAGAATTGAAATTGTAGGTCTCATTGTACCACACAAATCAACCAGACAATAATGGCAGATAAGTTTAATGAAGAGCATTAATGTCATGGTAACTGGCTAGTAACCTCAGATTGACTTACGTAACAATTATGGCTATGTATTGAATTGAAACACTAATTAATAACCTGTTGGAAACAATGTTTAGAATTATATTCAAGCCTGTATTTTTCAATCTTTCTGTAAAAAGGAATTTATATCTTTATGCACTATTATTAACTTATTATAATCAAAACATTCAAACATCCATTTGTAGTGTCATAATTCACTACCAGTTATAGTAATCTTGGACAATACTAATTTTGGTTTTCATCACCTGTTTCCAAATTGAAAGTCCTTTTCACCTTTCAGCCAGATGCGGTTGCATTATGATAGCATTCCATCTGACATCTCTGTCCATTTAAAGGAAATCTATAACATTTGCAAACATGAAAAACCAAAAGTACCCAATTATTATGAAATACCTTACTTGACTGTAAAGTGAATAATAGTCTCAAGCACCCTGTGAAATCATGGCACCTGGTGTGCTGTCATTTTCAAGAAAAGTGGAATTTTTGTATCAGACAACCATCGTTGGAAAAAAAATGGAGAATTTTTAATGTATAACCTGCCCCCACTTTAGCAAATTTAGTTAATGCACATTTTGTTTGCAATCGGCTACACATCTGTGAATGGGTGCAACCCAGCTTGTCTGGTTCCCTGACCCAGCAATTCCCTGACGTCTATAAATTGCTCTGTTTGATCTGAAGTAGGGTCAGGGAACCAGACTCTAGTATTTCCTTTAATGACATTGCTCCTTTCTCTAGAGGAAAAGCCAGCAACATCCCTGTGTGTACGTTGCTAGCAAACATGTCATGTTTGGTGACCCAGTTTGCGGGCTCAGTCTGTGAGACTTACGTACCACCTTTCCTAATATGGACACCACGGTGACCGTTTTAGCCGAATTTGACAGATTTTTTTGAAAAAAAAAAGACGAGTTTGACAGAAAACTTAGCAAAATGAATTTTTTAGCAGATTTCTTGCAGAATTCTGTAATATATGTGGTTTGACAGAAAAATATGGCAGAATTGAAAAATATAGCTGATTAGTTTTGAAAAAGCTTCAATTTGAGGTTCCCTGTCGTAACACAGTAAAGTACTGTAGACCATTGCAAGCTTGAACGTGCACTGCAAACAAATTAAATTTTTTTTTTTTAAGGAAATGTTGTGATTTTATTTTTTGTTAAAGGAATTTTATAACATTTGGCATGTGAGTATAAGTGTTTATAATGTATTTGGCAGATTTCTGTTCAATCTAGCAGATTTTTGAAGTGCATCTACATGTACATCTGTACATGTAGCAGAATTTTGCCATTACCTTAAGTTACGGTCACCCTGATGGACACAGTCATTGTGATTCAGCTATCAACTCCTCCTATGTGTGCTTTTTAGCAGAAACTTTTATAAAATTAAACTACAATGCATATTGCACCGTGTTTCAGCCGTTATGTAATATAAGTTCAACTATAAATAGGATCCTTGAAATGCAGCTGTATGCCTAATAAATAAATATAAATTAATTTTTAGTCTTTGATTACATGTATTGTGATATTTTAACGTTAAAAGCTTTTTTACGCAAATTAATGCAATGACAAGATCCAAGTAAAACAGTGATATTATTAAATGCCACAATTTGGGTTTTTTGCTGTTGTCATTTTTTTATGTTTGTTGGTTTAGTAAATAGCAGCCAGTTGACCTTATGCAGAATTATGTCCAGGATGCTTCATTGTCTGTTCATACTGACCTCACAGCAACTGTGCCACAAGTTGTCAGGACAGTACATTGTTAATTTGTAAAATGTGAACTTTAAAAAAGGGGGGGGGGGCTTTATATTTTCATACAGTTAAGAGCAATCGATATTTGCACATTGTTACAAAATTCATTTCATGAGTAATATTCCGATCTTACACATATTTGGACAACATCCTGCCCACTCTGGATGCCAAGCTTGGAGGAGTAGTAATATTCCGTGATCTCATTTATGGCCTGAACACACAGTGTGCCGGAAAGATGAATTGGATTTTATTTATCTTGGGGTGAGAACACGCGTGGTAATCCGAGAGGGGGGGGGGGGGCATCTGTACAATAATTTGGGTTGGGGGAATTAGGTTCCTCTAATAATTTATCCCAGTGCATATATAGTTTATTAATAGAATGTACACAAATTTGCACTGTATTTTCTTTAAATGGTGTACCACAGAGCTCCAAGAAACCATAGGCCACCCTTTCAGCCTGATAACTTCCGGCGACCCCCCCCCCCCCCCCTTCAAAATTCCCTGTTAGTTCAGTGGTTCCCCTAGTCAATGTAATAGGCCCTGGCCCTGATGAGGCCGACCATGGTCTATGATACGTAAACAGATTTGGCAATTAATTATGCAACTACACCAAGTATGACCTCCAGAAACTGACCAATCAGCAAGCGCCTTACAAAATTAACCAATCACAATCTTAGTCCCGATTTCAGAATGAAATGACGTCACGCGTGCTTAGATATATCAGACGTTCTACCGGAGATGGGCTGCGTGGAGAACGGGTAATGCTCAGACTATGGTGTCCCCCCCCCCCCCCCCCACCCTACCCACCAATCCCAATGTTGAGGAGAAATCACCACTCCATCATCCATGGTAAGAATTATTCCCAGGACGTTTCATTGCATCATAACATCTTACTTGCAGACAACTTAAACTGGGAATGGGGAATGACAAGTCAAGAAGTTGTGGATTACTTTCAAATGCCAAAATTTACTAATATGCAAATCCTAGCAAGAACGCTTCAGCCCAGAAATCAGCTTTATATGAGGGTCAAGAGTGTAAATAAAATCCAATTGACGGTGTCCAACAGGTCAATCATGACTTGGTCAATCAAGAGGAGATTTTGGCCAGCAGATTGTACAGGTAACATAAATCTCATTAAAACAATACATGTATGCCACAGTATTGTTAATTTACCACAATTTAACACAAATAATCCCAAGGCATGTACCAAATAACAAGTTGAACAATCCTAGAAAGTATCACTAAACTGCATGATGGAAAAGCCATAGACAGGAAAAAGGTACCATACACATTGGATCCTGAGCTTTTCGAGGTTAATATCCATTGTAATATAGCATGGACGATCCTTCAGTGAAGTACATGTACAAATGTAGATGCTACTTGATGCGTGATGGTCCCGCACTATTGATCCTCCCTTTCATTTACACATCGCTTGGTTAACATTATTACCAACACTAACGCAAAGTTCCACATTATGAAATGAACAGAAACTCACAAATGATGTTTAGCAATGAGAAAAAGTATTTACACACACAAAATAACTTTGGCCCACTTTTTTATTCAAGCTTTCAATGAAACATTGCTTATTGGGAAAATATAGAAACAGAAATTAACAGCAAAAAAACTACTAAGTCATGATGCATCAGGTTGCAGCACAGTGCAGGATACAGCAGGCTTATCGTATACCAAGCATGCCCAACGCAGACAAATAGAATGTTTACATAGTGCTATCTGTAACAAACACAGAGAAAGGAAGTTTACTGGTTTAAATCAGTAGGCTTTTGAAAGTCTATACTGTGATTAAAATGTTGGCAAGTTAAAAGCCTGACTAAATTCTGTACAAAAGCTACAGAATTTACTAAGTAAACATACTTTCATCAAGGGTTAAATAAAAAATGAAGACTTGGTTCAACTTAGTAAATGTAGCACTTAGGTTGACAAGCTGCACTGAAGGAAATGCGACATAGGCCGTGGGTCCAAACATTTGAAACTATATGTGAACATTTATTTAAAGGGAATATACATCATTTGCTTTTGCTGTAATTTTCAGAAATGGATGGAATTGGGGGATTGGAAATATAAAGCAAATATAGTTACACTGACTTTTTGGAGGTTTTGGGTTCGAAAATGCTATAAAAACCAAGAAAAACGATCATTTACCTGTAGTCTGGTTCCCTGACTCCATATAAGAAGAAACAGAGCAGTTTACATACATTGGGGAATTGTAAGGTCAGGGAACCAGTCTAGCTGGCTTGTACCCGTTCATAGGTTTGTAATCGATTGCAAACAAGTGCAATAGTCAATTGGGGCCAGTATTTGAAAAAAAGCCAGTTGTTTCCAACGCTGATCGGCCGATCAGCGTTGGAAATTGATACAAAAATACCACTTTTCTTGAAAATGACAGTATACCAGGTGCCATAATTTTACAGGATGCTTTAGACTGTCATTTACCAACGTCCTATTAAGGTATTTCGCAAAAACTTGGTAGTTTTATTTTTCGATGTTTGCAAATGTTGTATATTCCCTTTATTTAAGGCATGATTAGAAAATCCCATAACAATCATATGCCTTTCAAGAATATTCATTACTTTAGAAGTTTAAAGAAATAAATGTTGAAATGCTACATAAACTAAACTTACACGTAATTGTGTACCTTCACCAATTAAAATCCAAACAAAATCCAAACCAAAAATAATCGCAACAAAGTGCTGACAATAAGATATGTGCCATGTTTGCCTGTGACATTTACATTGCTGACGTGCCGTTCTTTTCTGACCACCAGTATTTTCAACTTCCGAGCCTGCAATCTTAGTTTTGTCAAAAGATACAAACTACAATTACAAAATAACTCTTTTGAAACCCTTATGCACATCATAAAGTCGCCTGCTTAATTATTAACAGCAACAATCATGGTGCACACTGCTGGCAGATAAGCAGCATGGTCAGTACTACCAAATTGTTCTTATCAGATTTTCTTTTTCTTGTTTTTTTTTTTTTCCCCTTTACAACTACCAGCAGACACAAAGATGCCCTTATGCACACTGGTCTAGTTGGACACGCAAGAATTGTGTATGTGTTTGCATAAAAGCCTTTTTATGATATAAAGATTACTTCAACTTTTAAAATAGGACAAACTGCTGTAATCAATATCTAAAGGGCTTTGGGCCTCACAAATGCACAGTAAACATATTTGCTGCAGCCATGTCAGAGGTTATGCTACTGTTGCATCATGTTTATATCAAACCTATATTACACACAAATGCACATTGTAAAGTTTGACTCCCAAAATCAAGCAATTTAATAAGAATATTTTTTAATGATGGTTATTTTAAAGTCTCACTGATGAAAAATGTTGTAATAAACAATGAAATATACAGCCAGCAGTATAATTTCTGACAGGAACATCCTTTTACTGACATGCTTTTGCAAGTTCTCAACACATGAAATGTTTCTGAAAACATTTTACATCAATGTTGTTCTCCAAATCATTTTGTTTTGAATAGGTAAGTTTGCTGCAGTTTGTCATTTAACAAGTTTACTTTTGAATGGTGTCTTTCAACAGACCACACTGTGCAGGAATGGTCTAGGAGCATGACACTCCATGGCTATCGTACTGTACACAGTTCTATACCATTCAATTATAGACCAAGTTTACACACAGTTTGAAATAGGCCTCCAAAGGCTATGTCTACTGTCAAACACTTCAGTAAGACCTAGACAGTAGCTCGACAGGAGATTTGGACTTAACCATACATACAGTGGAACGTCGCTATACCGAACATTCGGCTATACCGAACATCGTCCTTGGATCCCGATTTTTGTGTGCAAAATGTACCGAACATTGCGGTTGAAAATTGTCAACATAGAAGTAACAAGTGGCTATTATTTCCTAAAGGAATAGAAGGGGAAAGCCACCATTTGCTGAAGATAGTAAGCTCAAAAACTGTGTAATAACATAATTCAGTCGTCTTTCAGTAACTACCACGCATGTAGGATGAAGTTCTTAAGGGTGCTATTTGTTGAAAGTGAGTACCGGAGCACCAGCAGCTTAAAATCGTTATACTGAACGATCGCTATGACAATCAATATCTGTGGATCCTGCAATGTTCGTTATAGCAACGTTTCACTGCTTATCCTTTGGAGTATCGTAGCCACATGTAAGTCCACCAGCAAAGTACATATATCAAATCTATCAGTAACAATTCCTGAAGCACATATAGTTGTGTTTGGTACCTAAAAGTTGACAACATTTTGGTAGCCACTCATCTTCCTTCCCCCCCCCCCAAAAAAAAACAATGAACCAAAGACCTTTAAGTAGCAAGCAACAGATTTTCAATTTGATCTACTTTCTGAAGCTACTGCAACATTTGCACTACTCTAAGCACCACGGTTCTGTAGTGCTTTGACCTTATAGATTCGGACCAGCCAGTGCTCCGTGGTATAGGCTTCCTCTAGTGCGTCCAACTCAAAGTCTTTGTTGCCAATCTCAGCGTTGCGCACACGGTCATAGCCGGTTGGCTTACCTGCAATACAGAACCAGAATCAGAAATAATGACACCACATCTTCTACATTTGTAAGGACAGCGCAATGACATTATATTATTCAATTAAATACAGGTGAAACCGTAACAGCACAAATTCACGCATGACCACACATGTCTTCAGCAGGGATGGAATACTTTTCGAAGTTTTCTCAGTGCACACTGAAATGTAAGATGGTATTGTTGGAATTAAGTGTAAGGACCAAGGCTATGTTGATCTACGTAGTTTTTTGGAATGATTAGGAATTGCAGCAGTTGGACATGCAGCCTGACGCAGACTTTGTCCAGTGCCCAAGTCGATGCAACAGCCATGTAATACAAGTTTAATCGAGAACGATTTGTGATTGTTGACCATCTACACAATAAGTTGGGGTTTTTAAGTCATAGTTTTCATAAATGAAATTTGTCCTTGTAATTCACTTGGCAGCTTGGAAGAGAAAGAAATCAAAGTCTTCTGAGAACATTTCCGTTTCTTCATTGAATGTTATTAATTACAATTGTTACTTAAGTATGTCCGTTTCAACATGATTTGGCTGGCACAGAGTGCAATGTACCTGCACACATGATCATGTCAAATGCAAAGTGTGTTCTTGCAATGAGTAACAAGTAACTAACATTAAGCCTATTAAACTTACTCTGTTGACCTCCTAATCCTAACATAATAGTATAAGCATGCTTCGTAATTGTAGCACAACTCCGTGTATCAGTCCTGTCAAATGGTACCAAATACATGGAACCAGACTATGACCAGATTGAAAAGCTTAATGTTGCGAGATGTAAAATCAACCCAGGTCACTGCTGCACAGATTGTGCACTATTGGATTGGAGTGTTACTCGCATTCATGGAAGCTTAATAATATCCCTGGCATGTAGTTTACATGTTACACTGACCGAGTTACACATTAGTCATCAGTGTATAGGTTTGAATCCAGCAAGGGTGTCATGCAGATGTACAATTTTGTACATGCAATGGCATTGAAGCCTATAACATTTAACATGTCCCCAACTTTTGTAATTACATGTATAAAGAAGTCTTTGGACTCTGCTAATGTTTTATCACTCATGCTTTTGTATTATACCAAGTTACAACAATGTGATTAGACAAAGTAGTCAAAAAAAGAGTCCAAATCAGATTAGTACTTTTTCTAAGGCATTTGTCCTAATGCTTTTATTTTGCACACTTGTGATACTTAACCCTAACCCTGCCAGACCCAAGACAGTGCATCAGGTGGAAAAGTCTGGTGCACTTGTGATGCATTCAGCTATCACAGTGTATAAACGGCCAGCCTCTGAGACAATGAGAGCTAGTCCCATTGAACATCGCCACAGTTGTATCCTGCCCCATTCTGGCCCCATTCAGGGACCACAGACTCTGAGGCAGTTTGGCCTTGAGACCTTTGGCCTGATGGCCAAATGTTGCTGAGTGCGGCAGGGTTTCTAGCTAAAATACCCTGGAGGGTTAGGGTTAATGTGCATTTATGGCGTAACAGAAAACTGGAGTATTTCATGTAGACCGTCTATTTTCCCGCTTTGTTCCCACAAGTCCAGCTCAATATTCCAGTGTACTTGGTACCCGAACTACTGCACTACAACACTCCATTCAGTCATTATTGTCTTCATCCTACCTGATTCTGTGTAGACTTTGCCAAATCGATAGTAGCACATTTTGTACATGAGACAGTTGAGTAGCACTGGTGAGCCTTCCCTATCCACACGGAACTCTCCCTGCGGTGTGTAATAGTCAGTCTCCTTGATGTGTCTCCCGGTATCTGTACTACCTCCAATCCTCACCATCCACAAGAACTTGTTAATATCTGTAAGAAACCCATCCGTCAATACGTTAGTACAATGCAGACTAACGCAGGTATTTATCCCTACTGACATTGCTTGGGCCAAATTAACTCTTTCAGTGCCAAACTCGTACATGTACAAGGTATATTTGTTAGTACAAAAGCGCCAACCTTGTACATGTACGAGGTAATGTTCGTAAATGTTCGTACTTAAAATTGCCAAACCTCATACATGTACGAGGTAGAGTAAATATGTTATCAAAAGAGGGCGCTCTCGCTCTTTCTAATGGTACCATTTTCATGCATGTACGACCTGTATTTCTTTTTTCATTTGAGTTCTTGCGAGAGGGCGCAGCACTAAATCTCGTATTTTCTGCAAAAAGTGCGGATTTCCCCTGTGTTCAGGCCAGTGTTTCAGGGTGTATCACTATGTTTGTGACTACTTTTGACTTTCCAATATATCAAGGATATACCAGAGAGCAACAACAACAAATTTAGTGAGTAAAACTTATTTACTTTTTTTGTTTACAGAATTTCGAACAATTAACAAAAACGCTCGAAGTTGGGCACTTTAGGGTTAAACTTTTCAAATTTCGCGGGCACTGAAAGAGTTAAGATTACGTGTAACATTTGGCATTTCATGGAATCCTGAATATCGCTTCAGAGACCAAAACATCTTAGGTTTAATCTGTTTGGCATGGTTTTGTTCAGTAGGCTGCTTAAACATGGGTACAGTTCAGCTTATTCCATGTAATCCACAGTAACAGCAGAGTGCAAGTTTCTCACTCTCATGAGTACTGGTGGAGAAAACTGCAATCAAGTGAAAGAACAACTTCTACTACACTTCAGTTAATCTTAAAAGACTTAACACAAACCAATGTGAGGCAAGTGTTGGAATATAGTCAGTTAACCCTAACCTTCCCAAATCCTCCAAAATACTCTTTGCAAAATGGAGGCTTTTGCAGGATTGAGGCAATATGGCAAAAATGTGTGGCTGATTTGGAGGATGCACTGTGTCAAAGTCTTAGGCCGAACCTTGTATTGTTTGTGCTCAGCCGTGCATAAATTTAGGCCTAGATTATACTTGAAATCCTCCACACTGCTCCAGATGTCACTGGCTCTGCCTTAACATATTGACAATGATTGCCGGAGGATTTTGCAGGATTGAGGCAGTGGTCACCCCTCCAAGGACCACAGTCAAGAAATAACAGAAACTTTTGGAGGATTGAGGCTGTATGCAATTTTTACATGAAGGAAGTTGGAGGATTTTCCAGGATTGAGGTTGTATCCTAGCGAAAGTGCCTAGGGAGCAAGGGTTAAAACTCATCTTGATAATAATCCAAAAAATATTACAAAAATTAATTTCTGTTACAGACCTAATTTTGCCCGATAAAACCCATCATAACTCCAAGGCATCTGGTGAGGCAAACTTTAGAATGGACATCACTTGCCTGAGCAGAAGTCATTGCACAAATGTCTCGCATATCACTGACCACAAAACAGTTATTCCATTGGGGACAATTCCTCAGCAACTTTTCTGAGATTATTTTTGAGACGACTCCCAATATTTACTAACTTACCGTCAGAGGAGTAGCCTGTCAGCCCTCCAAATATAACCAACACGTAGTTCACGTCCAGTTCTCTCATGATCTCATAGGCTTTATCCTCTGTAGATGCCATGGCCTTCAACACAATTATAAAGAGAACATTTTGTCAGTGAACTTGTCCAAAGAATTTCCTGGTTGTCAGACCAACATCCCAGTTTGATATCTTCAGGTATTTCAGTTTAACAAAATAAGAAAAACTGTACAACTTAACTGCTACTTACTAGCCACAAATTATAGATTTGACGACTCAAAAACACAAGGTGCATGTTGTGCGTGAATAAAATTGAATCCAATATTTTTTTTCAATGTTCCATTTATTCAACAAATATATCTAAAACCAGGGTTAGGCTGCACACATTCAAAGGATTTTCATTAAGTATAAAGAGTAAATTATCATTATCTTGAAATAAATTTAACACTGACAAAGTTTACTGGTAGAACTCATTAATAATACACCTCCAAGCAACCACTACTCCAATATTCTGGTAGCTGCTATACACTGCTCCACCGTCACAAGACAAGAATAACATGGAGTAAGCCAGTGACGGACATGGCACATGAGATATGACTCACCTGTCTCACACTTGATATGTGAGTGTTATTCCAGGGCCCAATTTCATAGAGCTGCTCAAGCAGAAAATTTGCTTAAGCACGAAAAAACATTGCTGAGTAAAATTAGGTTACCGGCCAAAACTCCATGTGATGTACATTGCTTGTGACTGGTATTTAGCTGTTGTTTACTTAGCATTACAATCGCATGGAGTTTTGGCCGGTAACCTGATTTTATTAAGCAAGACGTTTTTTGCTTAAGCAAATTTTGTGCTTAAGCAGCTCTATGAAATTGGCCCCAGGTATTGTTATCCACTAGGATGGTCCTGTTAGCCATAGCCCTTATCTGATAGCCATAATCTCACCAGAGACCTAACACATGAGATATGACTCACCTGTCCCACACGTGATATGTGAGTGTTATTCCAGGTATTGTTATCCACTAGGATGGTCCTGTTAGCCATAGCCGTTATCTGATAGCCGTAATCCCACCATGACATCACTTTGGCATCCTGTTCAAAATACACAGAAAGCCAACAATAAATTTCAGTGTAGAAGATAGGCATAACCTCAAATACAAAAGATCCTAAGATATTTGGTAATTAAAGGGAACATGTAAAAGGATTTGTATGACTTAAATACATTTAAAACAGCTTTCTTGCCATGTAACTATGACTTTCCACCTCCTTTGTAGCAGTAAAAGGGAGAAATTTTAATATTTTAGTTTTTACATGAAAAAAGTAAGACTGCTGCAAACTGCTTACTGACTGGGTGGACCTGAAATATATAAATCTAAAAATTAATGTGGCCTGACGTTGCGAACTTAGCAAGTTCTTCTTCAGAGGCTAAAACAGAAATGACAGAGGTACATACATTAACATGGGGGTGCACACAAACATGCAGGGATGAAAGAAGAAACACAAAAGGAGGATTAGGTGGGAAAGGTGTGGAAAGATGCAGGGGAGGGTGGATGAGAGAACAAAGAAACAAAGGGAGATGGCAAACCACAAGGGGTCTGGTATGAACAGGGGAGGGACCAGAAAGGGGAAGGATCAAAGGTCACAGGGAGTGGGAACGGACAAAAGAGTGTGGGAGAGAAGGGGGATTATGGGGGGGGGGAACAGTATGGAGGTGGAAAGGGATGAAAGATGGGGAAAGATGGGGAAACACAAACAATGAAGACCAGGTGGATTATCTGTAACAGAAGACAATGGAGGAAGAAAAATATTAATCATTTCCAAGTTGGATGTTGAGACCATGTGGTTGAATAGTTCGAAGACGATTCATCCACACTTTCTCTCTGCTGAGGCGAACTGAGTCCTTGCGATGGCCAAGAGATTCAATGCCCTGCAAAATCATATCAGAAATGGAGTGGTTAGGCAGGTTGAAGTGATGACCAACAGGGGTGTCTAGTTTCTTGGTGTTGACCGTTGACCGGTGGGCATAGAAACGCTTCTTGAGCGTATTCTTAGTCTCACCTACATACTGCACTCCACAGACCCTGCAAGAAATAAGATATATGACATTAGGGGTGTTACAAGTGATGTTACCAATGGTTCTGTGGGTAGTGACAGAAGAGTGGCCAGAAAAGGAGTCAGACTCCTGGATATGAATCTGGCAGACAACACATCTGGAACTGCACTTGAAAGTACCATGCTGGGTGGGAGGGGATGCATCTAAGGATGGGACTTCAGCTCGAACAATCAAGTCCCGTAGATTTCGAGGACGCCTGTAAGCCAATGTGGGGCCGTTGGGGATGGCGCGGGCAAGGCGATCTGAAGTATGGAGGATATGATGATTGTCATTAGTGATTTTGCGAAGGGGAGGGAGATTGGGGTGAAACGTGGTAACCAAGGGAATCATGGGTTTGGCCATGGCATCAGGGGCCTTTCCCGTGAGAGCTAGATTTCTGGGGATAGCTTTAGCTCTGGCAATGGCACGATGAACTTGGCGAGAGCTGTGACCCCTGGCCACCAAGTTGTTCCTCAGTATCTGTGTATGGCGGGAGAAATCGGAATCATTAGAACAGATTCTTCTGAGTCTGAGTGCCTGGCTAAACGCTATGCCAGTTTTGCAGTGCCTGGGGTGACAGCTGGAGGAGTGGAGGTACTGGTGGGTGTCTGTGGGTTTGGAATACAGGTCAGTGGTTAGTGAGTTGCCTTGCTTGCGGACGGTGACATCCAGAAAGTGGGTTTGGTGAGCCGAGAACTCCGATGTGAATTTGATGGTTCTGTGGAAGGAATTGATGTGGTTAGTGAAGGTCAAGAGACTGTCCTCATCGCTGGTCCAGATGAAAAAAACATCATCAATATATCTCCACCAGATCCAAGGGCGACATGGGGCCGAGGCAAGAATGCGTTCTTCGAGGTCACCCATGAAGAGGCAAGCCATGGATGGGGCCATGCGAGTGCCCATTGCAGTGCCGTGTACCTGTAGATAGTGTTCACCAAGGAATGAAAAATTGTTTTTCGTTAGTATAAGTCTCATGAGGGTGCCAACATCACTGATGGGAGGAGTCGTGTGTCCTGCCTTGGCCAGAGCCAAGGAGCAAGCACGAACACCCTCCTCATGGGGGATGTTGGTGTACAGAGATGAGACGTCGAAAGTCCCAATGATGGCCGTGCTGGGAATCTGGTCCTTGATTCCTTCAAGCTTGCGTAGGAAGTCTGGGGTGTCGTGAATGTATGACGAAATCTGTGGGACAAGGGGTTTGAGAAAACTGTCAATGAACAGGGAGATGCGTTCCGTGGGTGAGCCATTACCGGAGATGATGGGTCTACCGGGGTTGCCAGCCTTGTGAATCTTGGGTAGAAGGTAAAATCTGGCAGTCCTACAATCAGAGGGAGAAAGAAATTTGTGAGCTTTCTTGGACAACTGGTCACGTGATCGCATATCGTCAAGTACCTGTTGTATATCTCGACAGAAAGTGCCTGTGGGGTCAGAGTCAAGGCGGGTATAGTTAGTGCGATTATCCAACTGACGGGTGGCCTCATCAATGTACTGCTGACGATCCATGATGACCACAGCTGAACCTTTATCTGCTGGCTTGATGATGATGTCGGTGCGAGAGCGCAAGGAGTTGAGAGCCAGGCGCTCCTCTCTGGGGAGATTATCATGAGTCCTGTGGGGGAAGTTGTCCGGGTTAGTGACTTGGGAATTTATAACTTGAACGTATGTCTCTATGGCTGGCACACGATTCTTGGGGGGTACCCATGAACTCTTGACTCGAAAAGGCTCTGGCTCACACGGTTCACTGTCCAGGAAAAACTCACGCAGACGGATTCTACGGTAGTATTCCGTGAGATCTTGGCTGAGCTGAACCTGGTTCACAGAACGGGGAGCGGGACAAAAATTGAGACCCTTGGAGAGAAGTTTGTGCTCTGCGTCAGATATTGATGAGGAAGAAAGATTAACTACAGTGTTGACAGGGGGTTCTGGTGGTGGCGTGGTAGATGGGGACCTAGGACGTCTGAAACATCTGTGTCTGCGTTGTTGTTGCTTGGCAAGCAAGCCACCAATCTTCTTGTTTCTCCTGTTGAGTAGGACAGAGTCAAGGTTAGACAAACCCCTTTCAATCTCATCATGGAAATTCCTGTACGTGGAATCAGAACAACTGGATTTGAGTTGGGAGTCAAGGTGGGAAATGTTCTGACGGAGGTCCTCACGTGTAAATTGACACTGCTGAGAGAGAATATTGATGAGTTTAATAGAGGCACCATGCATAACTTGATTCCATCTCCTTTGAAGGTGTGGTGGGAGGTTTCCTAAGCAGGGAGTGTGAGACAGTTGCAAACCTTTGGGGATAAATCGAGAGAGGGAGTACAAACTGTAGTTATCCTGATGGTAGGAAAAGCGTAAGGCCTTTTCCTTTGCCTTTCTGAGCTGTTGGAAAGTGCAAATGGTGTCACTCATATCTGTAGAAAGGGAGAGAATAAATGGTTAATACAATAAATCAGTGGAGGAACACGAAGACAAAAAGTACAAGTCAAATGGAGTTGCTCATGCCTTTTGAAGGGACAGAGCAAAACAAAACAAAATTGTGGGTACCTGTAGAGTGGAGAGAACAGTTTGATTAGTACATGGTATAAAATGATCAAAAGAAGGAACAAAACAAAACACAATGAAACTTACATATCAATTTTAGTTTTTATGCTAATGAAATTTCCATATTCATGAGCCAAAGCGTGATGTCATTCAAGGCAGAACAGTAGTGTCTCCATAGTTTGATATATATTTGTGTACAAATACATATCAAACTATTCTTCATTTTCTTGGAGTATCACTTTTTACTTGTTTATCATGTTAAACAGCTTGTTTGGACAATAGTAGTGGCCAATATTTCTTCAAAACTGTTTTTTTTGTGGGTATTTTGAAAGACTAACTTTTGTACTGTTCATATACACTTAGTACACTTTTGACAAGGAGTACCTTGTGTGACAAAAGCAAAATAGCGCCCTCTTACATGTAATGATGAAAGGATTTGCTTATAATTGAAAAACTACCACTTTCTTGTCACTTCCAATGAAAACAAATATTAACATCTTGTATATATTGTTGCAACACATAGTAATGTGCATGAAAACAAGATGAGCTGAATTTCCACTGCATGTTTCCATTAATGTCATTACATTGGGAGTACAGTATGTATCAGTCACCGGCGTTTTAAAGCACTTGCACAATGACTCCCAATAATCTGCCAACTTATTGAGAGAGCCTTGGAATACTTGAAGAAACTTAAGTGGTCAGAAATAATGAACAAGCAGCATGTAGGTCTGTACATGTATCCCAACCAGCAGTGTGGAATTCAACAATCACATGACAAATGAAAAAAAAAAAACAGTGTACTTCAGATTTCTATAATCCATCAATGAAATTGAATTTTGCGATTCACGACTAAAGGCCAATTTACACATATGTGACACCGTCGCGCAACCGTGTCGCACATTTTTATAAATACGCACTAATGAATGAGTGATAAGACGTACGACTTAATTGCGTAAAACACACTCAATGATTTGTGCGTAAAAACGTGCGACAAAGTGGCATATGTGTAAATCCGCCTTAAATCCTGCATTGAACTTAACTCTCAGTGTATGACACATTCAGTATCCACTGCAAAATGAAGCAGAGAAACACTGCGCCCAAAATTGCCTAATATCCAAATGGTCCTTTCTGCTCACTAAGAATCATTTAATAAGTCTGGTTGCAACATTGAACATTTTGTCAAGTACTATTGACCCTACCTCTTCAGTATTGTGTCGCAGCCAGTAGTATGCCTCACGGAAATCATCAAAGATGATCCTGCTACCGTCTCCAGCGCGAGCAGACAGGACAATAGAAGGAGAGGAGTAGGCTTCTGATGTGACCCAGGTACAATGGAAGGTGTAGGTGATCAAGAACAAGGTCATGAGGACGACTACCGCAGAGGCAACCTGTCATGTGATACATCAGGTGACACGTGGTGAGTCGTTATCCATGTATAGATTCATACGAACTGATGCGTTAAAATTTCATCACACCACACTTGAAAGATAAAATAACCTGAAACATGAGTCTTGACTCCTCAAACTCTGCACAAACTTACAAGTATAAACAAGCCCAATAGTAATGAGCATTGGTTTGGTATGACATTACCTTCATTTGTGTTTGGTTATTAAAAAGAACTTGTCTGGTAGCTTTGATTTCTCTTGTATACATGTGGTTTACTATGAGAGCATTAGTGCTATAGCTAAGTTTAAAGTTAAGTAATACTTTTATTGTTGCATTCCCAGTATTCTGGAAGGCAAATGATACTACTCAACCTGTTCTGTCTATGCAACCACAGGATTAAACAACTCATTTTGAGTTTGTGTACAAAAATGTACGGAACAGATTGTCTACATGCGTCATATGCCACTTTTGCGCATAGAACAACGCATAGATGTAGAACAATGCGCACGCGAGAGCGCCCGACATCCCTACGTGAAATCTCATTGCAGTCGTGTGTGCACATCGAGCGCAAGCACGCTTACGCACAACGCACAAGGGCCGTAGTCTTCCATTGTGAAGAAGAAAGAAGAAGGCCGTATCACGCATATATCCAGAATTTGGAAAAGTTGTTTATCCTTGTGTAGAGGATCATCCGTGATGCAACCAAATATCACAGTGGAGGATTTGACCCATCATCATCATGCAAGTCCTAGTAGGGTGTCAGGCCACACCAATCACCCTTATACCTATGCTGTAGTCAAGTCCATCACAAGTCCTCACATCTCCTCACAAGTCCATCACAAGTCATGTTTCTTGAGAGCAGACTTGTGTAAGGACTTGTGGTTTACTTCTTCCCAGCCTTGTCATGGACTTGACTACAAAACTGCCAACTACTGACCTCGTTCTTGATGGGATAGTTGGAGGATGACTCGGCCTTCTTGGATTTCTTCTCTGGTTTGTTGATGTCCAAGTTACGGACGTAAGTAGTCAAGACAGAGGAGACACCAATACCGGATAAGATGCACATGACTGGAGCTAAGACCAGCATCAAACGCACCATCACACCCTGTGATGCAATTAAAAGACAAAGTATATGAATGATTCATACATCTCATTCTACTCTTGACCAATGTAATGTAAATAATAATGGATACTTCTCATTCCTATATCACTGCAGTCATCCTGACAGATCATGAAACTAATCCCAATCCTCCAAGGTTTTTTGGCTAAAAATCATGCTTAATACAACAGATAAACGATCTGTCTAAATGACAAGCCTGTTCAGTGTAACCAAATCAAATGGGTAAAAAAACTGCCTTTAGAGTCTATGGTCACCAACTGCTGCAGGATACAACTATGACATTGTTCAATGGGACTAGCTCTCATCATCTTAGAGTTGGCCATTTATGCAACAAGATCCCACAGACTTTACACCCATTGCAACCTGTTGTGTCTGCGAGAATCAGGTTTAAATGCATACTCATAAATACCTAAGACAGTTTACCCATTCTTAGTCTAAAAAGGATGATAAAGACCGGCTGGCTCATTTTAACACTTTTCCAGGGTCACATGAAATTTTGACTCTTATGAAATCCAGTGCCTTTTAACGTTTTATTGGTTTTATTGGCTGAACGTTCACAATCCTCACGTACGCATGCGCAATACTACCAGTGAGGCAGTATTTCATAGTCCTAAATTAACACCACACCGCCACAGCTCCATTCTGCGCGACATCGCACAGTACGTTCAACGCGCGCACCAATCTCCATAAAAGGAGTTGTTTACGACTTACTCGCGAGCTGGACACTCTATTATTTAGCTAGAGGGGTATTTCGAAACACATGAAGTGAAATTGTCGAACCAAATCGTTGGAAATTTTTTATTTTACACTTGTTTTGCCCATTGGACCGAAAAATTTGTTTTTTTGCCCAAAAAGGTATTTATGAATGAAAATAAATATGTGCTTGGTCAGTATTAATCACTCTGTTTGAAGGGAATATACATCATTTGCTTTTGCTGTAATTTTCAGAAATGGATGGAATTGGGGGGTTGGAAATATCTAGCAAATATAGTTACACTGACTTTTTTGAGGTTTTGGGTTCGAAAATGCTATAAAAACCAAGAAAAACAATCATTTTCCTGTAGTCTGGTTCCCTGACTCCATAAAAGAAGAAACAGAGCAGTTTACATACATTGGGGAATTGTAAGGTCAGGGAACCAGTCTAGCTGGCTTGTACCCGTTCATAGGTGTGTAATCGATTGCAAACAAGTGCGATGGTCAACTGGGGCCAGTATTTGAAAAAAAGCCAGTTTTTTCCAACGCTGATCAGCCGATCAGCATTGGAAATTGATACAAAAATACCACTTTTCTTGAAAATGACAGTAAACCAGGTGCCATGATTTTACAGGATGCTTTACACTGTCATTCACTTACAGTCCAGCAAGGTATTTCAAAATGATTTGGTAGTTTTATTTTTTGATGTTTGCAAATGTTGTATTTTCCCTTTAAGACAGGTTGGAGTCTGGATGGGTGATAATTACCCTCGCCTTCGGCTTGGGTAATTATCAGCATCCAGACTCCAACCGGTCTTAAACAGAGTGTTTAAAACCTCCCAAGCACATAATTATTTCTAATAATAAAACCACTAGTGAATATCGCTCTCAGTGTATTAACTGTGTCACTGCATTGTCACTTATACTCTTCATCCAGATCAGTCCCGTACACAAGACATCCTAGAATCTAGAACCCCTGGTATGCCAAGTTAGCTATATCTATGGATACATCATTGAAATCAAAAGGATCCCGACATCCAGCGGCTGAGCATTCAGTATGGTATTAGTGCATGTAGAGAAATGTATGCAACACTGCAAATGGCTCTTTTTTGAGGGTGGGGTGAGGTTCTTACCGAGAAGTAGAGGCTGGTGATTCCATACAGGATGATGAAGATGTTAGCATCAGTCAGCTTGGAGAAGCAATAATACATGCCAACTAAATCGGACAAATAAACATTTATTATTGGAATTATTACATGTATATCACATATTTAGCATCTAAATGGCAGCACCCATGATAAATATTGGCAATTAATTACAAAATCAAACACTAACATGACTAACTAAAGACCCAAGAGTCATTTGTGGCGTTAATAGACTTATCCAAATTTGACTGCAGTCAAAGCTGAATACACTTTCAGTCCTAATATTCTAAGCAATGAGGACTGTGTACTCAAGTAGGATCTGGAGGTCAATATTATACAAATATTGAGTGGCTCAGCGTGGAATGGGAGGAATATTATCGCGAGGTAAAATCTGGACTTTTCCATTTCACGAGGCGAAGCCGAGTGAACTTGAAAAGTCCAGATTTTACCGAGCGATAATATTCCTCCCATTTCACAATTTAAAGCCACTCAATATTTGTTTTATATAACTGACATAAAGATCCTTGTCAATTGATATATTTGAATTTTTTTTTTCAATACAAAACTGAAGGAAAAGCTATTTCTCTCTTCAAAACCACCCCATCACGAAAATGTTTGAACCTAACGCTGTAGCGCCGGCTCTTGGAACAATACGCGCTACGCGCAACGCTGAACGCGCACACCAGCATTCATTTGCACACAAATACCTCGTCATGATCCTAACTGTTGAATAGTATTTCCCAGTCCCCATGGGCGGATAGTACTTTTTGAGCCGCGGCGTGAATGGGAGCAATAACGAATGTCATGTGATGTGAGTTCCACCAATCAAATGACTAGGATCTGTATGTCAGTTATATAATTTAGAATATATCAGGCACTAGAGGATTAAAGATCATCACAGAAGAAATAGCTTTCAACCAGTGAATTCTTAACCAATTACCGACGGATCTGGCAATGTATATTCTGAAGGGGTGGGTGACGGGTAAATTTATCAAACTTTCCACGAGTCTCTGGCGGTGGACATGTAAACATGTCATATGTACGGTACACCGTGGTTTTGTACACACTGTGTTTTGAACTTGAACTTGGCCGTTGTACAGCCTGTCATTGTAGCAAGTATCACTCTGTGGCGGGGCCTCAGAGTGTTGCAAAATATGAAGTTACGGTGAGAAGTATCGTACAAATAGTGTCCAAATGACTCTCAAGAGTGAGTATTTGTGGTGTTTGACTTCATTTTAAAATTTGGCCAATATATCTTGCCTTCTTCAAAACTGTGGGGTTTTCTTTGCCAAAAATAATCCTGACGGCAAGTGGTTAAGGTCCACTTGCACCTGAATTGCTTCTTACTTAATGAATTCATTTGCATGTTATAGCTTAGCAACAAACATTGTATGACACAAAAAGAGTCTGTTTTGCAACTTTAGCTTTGCTTTTGTTCCAATCTGGTGATTCCATACGCGAACACATGCGCAGCACCCATTAACAATGTACTTTTATATGGTCCGGGGTTCGAATCCAGCCGCCGGCCATATATTGTGTCCTTGGGCAAGGCACTTCACCCCCACTTGCCCCTCTCCACCCAGGAGTATAAATGGGTACCGGCATTAGCTGGGGAGTAATCCTGCGATGGACTGGCATCCCATTCAGGGGGAGTAGAAATATTCTCAGTCGTTTCATGCCAAGGAAACCGGAGATAAACACCGGCCTGATGAGCCACATTGGCTCGCGACAGACTTTACTTTTTTTTACTTTACTTTTTATATGGACAAATCTTTCTTTCAATGATGATATTTCACTGAAGATTGGTGTTATTGTGGGATATATATGGTACCTACCCGGGAACATGAATACATGCATCTGGAGATCAAAGTAGAATGAGCTCCACGTAGTGGGCTGGTGCTCAGAGACTGATGCAATGATAGGGATGTTGTTCTTAGCGTAGGAAGGATCCAACAGAGAGTAGAAACGACCGGTCCATGGTGAGATCTCTGTGGGATCAATGGCTCAGGAAAAGACCAGGATCAATCTAAACGCTAAAGTTGCTTAAGTTCACATTGACCCTAACCCCCATCGGGTATTCTTCAGGTACCCTGCTAAATGCAACAATATCCAACTCAACTTAAATGAGAACCCTGCTAAATGCAACAAATTGCAACAGTGAATTCTGTTGCATTGTGCAGTGAACCCAGTGCATACCAGTCTTGGCACCAAGCAGTTACCCTGCTAAATGCAACAATATCCAACTCAACTCAAATGAGAACCCTGCTAAATGCAACGAACTGCAACAGTGAATTCTGTTGCATTGTGCAGTGAACCCAGTGCATACCAGTCTTGGCACCAAGCAGTTACCCTGCTAAATGCAACAATATCCAACTCAACTCAAATGAGAACCCTGCTAAATGCAACAAACTGCAACAGTGAATTCTGTTGCATTGTGCAGTGAAGCTAGTGCATACCAGCCTTGGCACCAAGCAGTTACCCTGCTAAATGCAACAAGATGCAACAGTGGATACTCTTGTATCGCCTTGGCACTATGAGCAGTTACCCTGCTAAATGCAACAAACTTCAACAGTGGACACTCTTGTATCGCCTTGGCACTATGAGCAGTTACCATGCTTGATTTAACAAGATGCAACAACTTTTTACCAGTGTTGTTTTTTGTTGCATTTAGCAGGGTTGGGGTCAAGTTGCTAAAGTCCACATTACAGCAATTTCTTGCACTTCATTTCCTACACGCTTATTTCTAAATAAACATATTGCAGACACCGCGATACCAATGCCCTCAGTTATTGCAGTTTTCAAAATGTCAGTGACATGTTGGCACAATTTCTGCTGCATGCTTAAGCTCAGGCATATTTCTTTATTACGAGGTTGCTATGGACTCTAACATTAATTTTACAACTGGACATACACACTTCATGCTATCCACACGCGCAAACCAAAACACACATAGGATTAATCCTTACTTGGCTCTCACTAGAAGGCCCCAAATAAACATCTACAGTAATTGCATGGAGTCAATGAAGAAATAGCAAAAAGGCCTGCTGCAATGTGCATTTTTGCACTAGCGATACACTGAATTACAAGAGCATTAACCCTTATCTGGATTAAAACAAGATTCAGCAGTCATTTTTCTTGTTGCTGGATTTTGTTCATACAGTATGAGCAGTAACACGTATGAGCAGTAACTTTGAAGCTTTTTATTATAGCTCCTGTTGAACTCATTACTCTATACTTAACACCGTTGGACTCAGCAACCACTGGCAACTTTAATGTTATATTATCAAAAAAGTTCATTCACTATCACCCCGTCTACAAAAATGGTTTTACCCCAAAAACAAGATAGAGATGCTGTCAGTTATAATTCTTAGGAATACCTTAAAACTAAGTGGGACATATATGTAAAATGTTTCTTCTGCTAAGTCAATATACTCAAGGATACTTCCAGTTGCCATGAGCACAGCTCCTACTGCTCCGACAGTCACACCTACAATGAGGACCACGCTACGGAACAAGACATCAAAGTAATGCTGGCTGAGACGAGATCGGACGTACTCTACAAAGGTGTAGATCTGACACAGTCCAAACACACCCAAAGCCTGACAGAAACAAGTACAAATGTACATTCATATCTCAAAAGAATCTAAACATTGTGTTCCTTATAAGGAACTCTTTACTTCATCCTTTGATCAAAGCGCAAAGAAACAAGTTTAAACAAGTGTCTACAATGATGGTGCACACGTACTTGGCTGTCCTTATGTGTGGTGCATACAAGAAACACTTAGGTATAATAAATACACTTAAGTAATAAGTCTGGTCAATGATTACTTGGCAGATGCCTCAGCAAGACTAGTAGTCTGGGAACCAAACTGGGTTGGAAGTTTTGAACTACCAATAAAGGGACATCTGCGCTGACAAGCTACGCAAGGATACAGGCTGAACTACAATAAATGAACATCAATTTGCATGAATGATAGGGACATTTCCATTCATACATATATATCTTGTGGCATTATTGCTATGTCCTCCTCCTTGCATGTGCAGACACTTTACCAGCTGACCCAAACAAACTAAATGGTCCAGTGGTAAGAAATCTGCACTGGTAAGCAGGAGGTCATGGGTTCGAGCCCCACCTCAGTGTGTTGTGAGATTTTCTACACAAGCCATTGGGCATTTTTGAGTCTGCAGCGTTTATGAAAATATGGCAGTGAAGGGCAAAACCAATATTGAATATACGTAATAAACTTGTGCTGCCATACTTACAGCCATGTGCTCACTAGACTGGACTGGTTGGAATCCAACAAATGAGATCTGCATGGATAGGATTGTGCCTAGGCAGTAGACGGTGTTATAGACCACATAGATGCGATGACTGAATCGACCGGTTACCATCAATGCTAGGACATGCATTGGGATCAGGTTGATCAAGAAGACATAACCACCCCATGATGATACCTGAAACATAAGACAACACTGACAATAAGTATGCTTCAATCACATCATATTAATGCACATGTAATCAATGAGCATGTATGTTCTACATGTACATGTGACCATTCCAAAGGTACATACATGTAGAATACCATGAGTGTTAGCACATAAACACATTTATCTTTAAATAACCTTATTACTATTTTTTAACAGTGATTCTAACATGTGTACCAGGGAAATGCAAACATAAACAACTGACCATGTAGAAGTAAGCCAGAGCACAGAGCGCGGCCCAGAACATGGAACCAGTCTTGACTGACTTGATCCACAGCGTATAGGTCAGCAACATGCAGAAGATAGCGATCCCCTCGTTGTCATAGGAACCAGCTACAGATCGGGAGATGTAACCAGGTACGATAGAGATCATAGCGGCGGCTACTAGACCTGCTCCGGTGTCCTACAAAATACAAGGCATATAACATCAGCCGACGACGTGCATTAAAAGCTCAAAAACATGCTGTATTTGTGTTGTTCAAAGGAAGTTGTACCTTCTTACAAAGGTTCTCAGTCATCAGCTCGGATCAACAAACCTCATCAGACATTGTGCACCGTTGGATATCGGTGGATGCAGAACGGCTGGGGTTAAACATTTCTTGGGGTTACTTTATGTAAAGGCACTTAACCCTAACCCTCCAGAGTTTTTTGGCTAGAAACCCTGCCAAACACAGCAACATGCAACACTTATCTAAATGACAAGCCTGCCAAGTGTAGCAAGATCCATCAGGTCAAAAGTCTCAAGGCCAAACTGCCTCAGAGTCTGTGGTCACCAAATGCAGCAGGATACAACTGTGGCATTGTTCAATTGAATTAGCTCTAATTGTTTCAAAACTGGCCGTTTATGCACTGGTGTTGATCATTAAATGCATCAAAGTGCACCGGACTTTTCCACCTGACGCACTGTGCTGTGTCTGGCAGGGTTAGGGTTACACTGTTTTATGTGAGTGGGGTAATTTCAGTTTCATGGACATTACAAATCAGACAATTTTTTGTACCTGAGAAGCTTGGTGAATAAACCTGAATATGTACTTTTCAAATCTTAAACCATCATCTAGTCATGGTCAAGGAGATTACAGACTAGGAGTTTTGGATCATTTCTCTGAATCATTAATTAGATATCATGGTTAATTGGCTCTGTCATGAACATGAAACATTTCTTTTAACCCTAAAAGGGCCCGGGGAGGGGAATCCGCCCCCCCCCACCACAACTTTTTCCGCGATAGCCTTGAAAAAAAAAAATTTTCATGACCCGAGCTGTTATGACTTTTTAGCCTCGAGCCTTGCCCATCTTTTGAGACCAAAAACATAAAAATCAGACCACGGGGGTTGCCGGGGAGCGAAAAAATTGTCTGGCACTACGCATTTAGGGTTAAAAAGGTCTGAATATTTAATGTCTATGATGCTGGCATTGACCGGATTTCAGGTCCACTCTTATGTATGGAAAGCATACAAGATGCATGCAATACAAATATACATGTAATTTACAAACCCAAATGCCTTCATTTGTATAGTGCACTATTAACCCAAGTTTGTATGAGAATAAAACGCAATCCAACATAAAGCTGAAGCGGCAACTATTTACAATAAGTTTCACATTTTGTGTTACTGTCAGAGGGTAGTTATATGTATGGAAGCTGATTGGATGAACCCATGGTTACCTTAAGCTGCTTAGCCAGATGATAGGTGACCAGCGTCGTCAAGGAGGAGAAGAGAGGGGCCAAGAAGACACAGACATTCCTGACGTCGATGGAAAGATGAAGGAAGTTCATCACATGATAGATGATGGCTGAGGTTATCATCAGACCTGCTCAGCAAAAAGGCAAAACACAACAGACAAATAAATTCAACTGATTTGACTAAAAAGAAACATTGAAAATAAGATTGTTCACCTTCTACCGACTTCACTCTGCAAGTACTGTCAACTTAGTGGTTCTTGTGAGAAAATTCACAAGCTTGCTCAGTGGGAATTGCAACCCATGACCTTCTTACTAGCTACTCAAGCTGAGCAACTCAAGCACTGAACATGCCAGCTTAGGTGGCTTCTTTAACCCTCACCTTCCCAAATCCTCCAAAATCCTCTTTGCAAAATGGAGGATTTTGCAGGATTGAGGCTATGTGGCAAAATGTGTGGCTGATTTTGGAGGATGCACTGTGTCAAGGTCTTTGGCCGGACCTTGTGTCGTTTATGCTCAGCTGTGCAAAAATTTAGGCCTAGATTATACTTGAAATCCTCCGCACTACTCCAGGAAGTCACTGGCTCTGCCTCCACAATTTGACAGTGATAGCTAGAAGAGTTTGCAGATTTGAGGCACCCCTCTAAGGACCACAGTCAAGAAATAACAGGGGATTTTGCAGGATTGAAGCTGTATGCAATTGAGACAGTTGGAAGATTTTGAAGGATTGAGGTTGCATCCCAGAAAAAAAATGCCTGTGGAGTCAGGGTTAATCAATACAATTTGAATCATCAACACATTATCAAACACTAAATTGTTATTACAGCTTCATCTCTCTTGAACTTTTTACAGATTTCATGATCAATAACTATTTTAAATATAAACATGGATAGCTGGTCAAAACACTGATAATCATAAGACCACACTCCCACATTTCCGTCATATTTCACATATTCTGTTAACATTTTCACTCTCGTTGTATTGTGGGAAAACCTCAAGATCCAATAGTGGAATAATTTATGAGTATTCTGAGAGCTAAAGTAGAATAAAAAGATACAAGGATCTTTCTTTGCAAAAATCAGGCAGTGCCACCCATTACAGACTTGGGGGCTCAATGCAAAGAAATTGATAAAAAAAAAAGTGTGGAAAGCCTAAAAACAGAGCACAATAGGGGTTGAGGAATTCTTAGCTTCTTCTCCATCTGTAGCTTCCGGCAACATCATCATGCTTGTATTTCCATGAATTGAGAGACTCCACTATTGGTCCATTTTCGGCTCATAATACATGTACATATGTACACTGAATTCTGTCTCACAAGGAAAACAATGGTCGGTGTATTTCCTTTGGGCTGCAGACGAAGACTAATCCGAAGGCGAAACCTATCAATTTCTAAGCCCTAAATGACATTTGATATCAGCATACAGACCTGGGTAGATAGTTCCTCCAATGATACGACCCAGAGGGTACCAGGCGCGATCATCAAACCAGTTATGGAAGCGATAGAAGCCTTCCTCGGCCAAATACCTGGTTGTCCGGTAGTTGAAGTAAGGATCAAACTCGTGGATAACACTCTCAAAACGTAACACAGAGAAGAGACGAGTGGAGAACGCTGCAAGGATAAAGGAATAGATGCAATGAAGCTTAATTGAGTCTTGACAAAGGCCAGTAAACAGTCAAGGTTTCAGACAGAAAACCAAAGCATTAAAAGCAGCTATTGCATGAACTTTATGCTGAAACGTATTTTGTGCAAATCTCCATTCCTCTGAATTGAATGAAAAAAGAGTTACCCCTTTTTGGTTTGAATTCCCACTTAAAATGTCCCACTCTGTTCTTGACAACTGAGTGTGCTGCTGCTATTATGTCACATCTGCTGCACACTCTACATTGTACAGTTAAGGAATTTTTCTGTACAAAGTATGAATCTTTAGCTGTCATTATGTTCTAAAAGTTGGTCAATGGTCATGCAGCAAAACCCCCAAATTCTGGTAACTTGTAAATGCTTCAGCAGCTGTAATGCTTAAGCTTCTGCCTAAGATGACATCAAGGTTTTGCTCATGCATATGGACATTCATATTACCACTAATCAAAGGGCCCTGAAATATGGACTAAACTAAGATTGTAAATATAGTTGAATGGGGTAGATTGGCCTTACACAGGATCATGCAGAATGCCAGGATACATAGCTTGAGTAGTGTCTCCTGCTTCTCAATGGACATACGTCCCAGCCAGGAAGGCATCTTGTAGTTACTACTAGTAGACTTCATGATGAGCTATCAGGCTACACACTAGTACAACCTGAAAAATGAATTAATGTACAACATGAATATTGATTCAGAATTAATGTAGGTGTTATTATTAAATACAGGGCTTGAAATATCTACTGGACCACTGATCGAAGTTCATGATGTACATGGAGGTCTACTGCTTTCTATGACCGATCTAGACCAGTCGGCCAGTGATTTATTTTGTGTGTTTTATTGTTCTTAACACTTTGAATTGACAGAATTACTGTCTAAACCGGCTTAGTTTTATACTCTTTCTTAATAGTCCTACGTGACCTCGACCTGGCTTGCAACACACACACTGACAGTGACACAGCCACAGGCATGACAACCTCAGGCAGGCATGTTGTACAATGAGGCCCTTTCATCATGTGACTTTTCCCCGTGGACAAAAACAACGGACCTAGACATGACGGCCAACTTTATAAAATCATTTTTTTACTTGAAAATTATACAGGTTACAAAAATGAAATTTCCCTGTCATAACACTGATATCTTCAGGTTATACATTTTGTACCACTAACAAATCAATGAAATCAGACGAGTTCTGAAGATGTCACTAAATATGTGACGCAATGCCATCGTACATCCGGTCATCGTACTTCGGCCTGATTTCGGCCCAACTCGTGCGGAGAGTAGTTATACCGACAACCTTTTTCCCTGTTTCCGTGCATTCTGATGGGTGAAAAACCTACCGCATGAACTTCTTTTCATTCTCTGATAAACTTCGTGTTTGAGATCCACATCTATTGGCCATTTTGTCATGTTTGTCAATTTACACAATGTCAAAATACAAATTGTGATGAAAATACAGACAAACGAGGTTGTGCATCCAAGCCAATAGCAAGCAAAAATAGACATTTGAGATTGATTTCAGAAACTTTCATGATATTCCAATGATGAGTTTAGGAAATACGACAATGTGTATAGTTTCGGATCAATGTTTTGAGTACTGAAAAGATCGTTGTGCAAATTCAACGGGAGTGAAGCACAGCATCATGAGCATGCAAGAGCAGAACGGATCACGACGCCCTGTAAATGTTATAGGGGACTACTCTGTAATTGAATGTTGGAGTCAATTTAAATAAGAAAAGAACAATATCCTTTATTTTTTGGGAAGAAAACAAATTGAAAAGACGCTAGCAGGGCCGGGATTTGAACCAGGGATCTCTCATGCCCTTATCCACTAGGCCACCAGGTGCTGCACAATGCAAACAGTGGAGGTAATTTAAAGAGGTTGTGGAATGCTCGAAGACATTTCCGTCATTTTTTGGGTATATGTAGCCTAAGGTGTGATGAAATAAAAACGACTATTGTTTCTGTCATGAAATGAGTATAAAGGGTACTTTTGAGAGCTATTTTTCAGGTCCTGTTTCGACCCGAACGTGCAATTTGTGTAAAAGTCGTCGTTGGGGGCAGCAAACAAAACACAGTAAATCGTGACGTAATAAACAGGACTCGTGTATGCTACTCTGCATCGGGAGTCCTGTTTATTACGTCACGATTTATTGTTTTTTGTTTGCTGCCCGCAACGACGACTTTTACACAAAGTGCACGTTCGGGTCGAAACAGGCATGACAGGACTTGAAAAACAGCTCTCAAAAATACCTTTTGTACTCATTTTATGACAGAAACAATAGTCGTTTTTATTTCATCACACCTTAGGCTACATATACCCGAAAAATGACGGAAATGTCATCGAGCATTCCACAACCTCTTTAATAGCTTTTATAATGCGCTGTACAATCTAGCAGGCAAAATATCGTTTACTGAAAGAAAGCCCGCTAAACTAGCCGGCTGAATATACACTTGCAATTTTAAAAGGGGTCATTGTGCACTTCAAAATAAAATCAGAAAATCACGACTTTCTCTGGAACTTTGTAGCGGGTACTAGTTCAAGTATTTAGTAAGTTTGACCTTACTTATCGCCTTTCTAATATTCAGACATGATCTGGCGACAGTAACATCAAAGGGAATCACCAGACTTAGAAGGAGGTTTACGCATTTACGCGGGTACAACTATAGAATGCAGGGCCACTTCACTCTACATCCGCGCCTCCGTACGGCTGCGTGGAGCCGCAGTCGACCTACCTCCGAGAATTGCGCCCTCTATCGGCGCGCGTCTCTGCGACTCCGCGACTCCACGACTCCAGTGCCCCGTCGCCCTCCTCCCTTCCTTTGCGAGGAAATTAAAAATGGATATGGATGCTTCGTTCTCAAAAAAATTGCGCCCTCTATCAGCGCGCGTCTCTGCGACTCCGCGACTCCACGCCTCTGCGACTCCGCGCCCGGCCCCTACACATTTACAAGCATGCCCTCCCTTCCGATCCTTGATGAGAAGACAAGTGCATTCGCTGTACTTAGCACTTTTTTCAGTTGTTTTTGCAGGTTTGCAGATTATGATATTGTCAGCCTATTACTCCTAATCCTATCCTCACAGCGCCGGCCTCAATCCACGCCTCCAAAAGCAGAAAAAAAACTTGCTCCGGCGTGGCCCTGCATTCTATAGTTGCTCCAAAGTGTGCCATGTTAAGGGGCCCCGCCACGTTAGGGTATTGTCAGACCCCCCAAAGCTACGCGGTCCTATTTCTACGCACTCGCCATCAATTTGAGTAATCCTTACTTTTAGGACCCCGTTCCTATATAGGAAGGGAAAGACTCACCAAAACAGTTGACTAAATTTTTAGTAAATGACACTCAAAATTGACATTCTGATATTTCTTGACACATCTGAACAATTGGCAATGACACCTTCTTAAATATCAGTACAGTAGGTTTAATTTTGTGGAAAGAGGGCTTTGATTTTAGAGGGAAATTGCGGGGTAAAAAAGACGACGATGACAACCAGAAAACAAACTCAAAAACCAAGATGGCAAACGTGAGCTCGATGTAATTTTATTGCAAATGAAAGTTTGATGCTGATTGGCTGATAAAAATAAACATCTTGTTTATTTTTTTTCAGCAGCCAATCAGCATCGGGCTTTCATTATGTAGCGCTTTCACTCGTGTTGTGAGAACTACACATGCACGCCTGACTGCAAAAAAGGTAGGAAAGTCACATTTTCTTTGAAAGTGCTTTCAAAATTACAACTAACATGAGTTTAATTATATGAAGAAAAAAGACTGCTTTAGCCTGCAAAAGTCACTTTGGTACTGGACAGTCATCTGCAAAAGTCAGTTTTGAACAGAACTCGTAAAAAATAGAGGTGTCCTAAAAGTAAGGATTACCTCAATTTGTGTGTGACAACGCGCGTTGGAAGTGTTACCTGCGCAGATTATTGTTATATGGAGCCTTGGAGGATTCGAGGACATTATCAACAATCAGACAATATCACAACAGCGGAACAGCCGCCGCCGATTTAACTTAAAGAATACTTCCAATAACGACTCAAAGGCCAAAAATAGCATAAGTATCCTACAAAGAAGTAAAATCTAGATCTTTAAGATTAATCATACGCTAATTCAGTAAGATAATTGTGTTTTAGTTTTGATTTCACCTGTTGGATGTAGAGTTGTAAACGTGGACAAATCTAAAGAGAACCGTCACTGGTACCTGTACAACGTTAACGGCGCAGCGTTGATGCTAATTTCAGCGGCCGCGTCGACGGTCACCAACGGAAAACCGGCGGAACAACAGAGGGCGTTAATCTATCTACGTGACATTTGACATCGTGCTAGCGGCGCGGGTGACGGTACCCTGGATTTTTACACTCAAAAACAAACAGGGGCGGCGGAACTGCATGGGGAATAGGGGGCACTTTCCCCCAGAATTCCGTCCCCAGGCAAACAAGTGCTCCTTTCGCGGTTATAGAATGTATGTGCCCCCTCGAGATGAAAACAGAAACTGCCCCTCAAACGCGCACACGTATGATCCCGCTACATGCGCTACAAATAAAATTATCTCCTCTCGGCAAGGCTTGCCATGTAAAACTGCCAAAAATTATAAGTACCCGGGCGCGGCCCTCTCGCATTAACAAGATTGCAATGTGCACCTTCTCGAGATGGAAGACTACCCCTCGAAAGTACAAATTCCCCTCTCGCATTAATAAAATTGTGTCAGTCTCGAGATGGAAAATTGGCCATCAAAACTTCTCGCGACTCATGATCATGACTTCTCGATGGAAAACTGCCCCTCAAAAGCACTTTGACAGTAAACGCAACCATACGGCACGGAATACAAAATGAAGGTTAGTAAGAAAGGCCAAGTCACATTTTCATGCCCCGGCGAAACAACAAACACCAACACCCCCTTAACCAAAAGGGCCGGGGCGGAATCCGCCCCCCCCCCCCCCCAACTACGTTTTCCGCGATAGCCTTGAAAAAAAAGCTGTTATATTTTGTTTAGCCTCGAGCCTTGCGCATTTTTTGATACCAAACACAAAATCTTTTCAAAAACAATTTTCGGCGCTAGTACTGTACATGTATGTATACGTTGTGTACACAGAGCACAATTCCCATTCGCACATATATGAATAATTAATTAACCATAATTCCACAACCCTTTGACCTATAGTCATAAAATGTCTTGGGTATGTTCATGATGAGTTGCTCTATGCATGTCCCGAGATCTTAGAGCCCCCCCCCCCCCCCCCCCCGGCTGAGAGATGGTCAAAATATAATCCGGCCCTTGGTTAATCCCCTTCTCTATGATCCCTGCATGTTAATACATGTACGTTGAGCGAAAAGGTCAGCATATCACACTCTAATAACACATTAGTCAGATTTGACTAGAATTAAACCAGTTAAATTTGATTAGCCATGGGTCAGCTAGTGCAACTGAAAATCAGTCAATCTGACTAGATTTTTCCAGTCAGTATTGAAAAACAGTTATGCAAATAACTAAAATTTGAGTAAAATCCAACTATTTTTTCTCTAGTCACAGTATAAAACATTGCATGTTCAACTACCTATAGTCAATTTTCAATAACTAGGAAAACCAGTCAATATTTTGACTAAATTGTGTTTAGAGTGTATAGCAAATCACTGAATGCGGCATCGAGTGATGCTCCTCTCATCCACAACATTCCTAAAAACTCGTAATTAAATGTTGCATACCCCGTACGTGTTCTTCAACATGGCTGGGGGTTTGGGGGTTCTAACGAATTTTCAATTTGCATTAAACGAAAAAAGTTAAACTGCATTTTTCCGATTTGGGGTGTCTGCAACCCTCGGAAATGACTTTTGCTCACATGTGCCGAATTCAATTCAATGTTAGTTTTTTTTTGTTACATTTATTTTTATGATGCCATTACAGTATGTACATATCAATAACATAAGGAGGACAATAATATGATATTTTATATGTACACAGTGATTAATATTTAAGTAGCAAATTAAATGACAACATATTTAGGTATAAGGCAAGCAATACGATTTTGTGCCCTACACCTATGGCGGAAAAACAACCAAGATACCGTAACATGGACATATATGACAAACAAAACACAACGTGAGACAAAGCCTAATTATCAGTTCACAAAACAACACCTTAATTTATGATTATGATTCGAGGAACTGAGTTTTTTTTTATTTTTTTCACAAAGACAGACAGTGAGGGTAATCATTTAAGAGATTCATCTAAACTATTTCAGTATCAGATGAATCGATGAACAACACTATTTTAAGACATTGACGTTCTGTTAAATCGGACAAACAAATTTCTCCTAGCGCTACTTCGAGTATTATATACATTGTACATGAATGTTAGATGTCAACAAGGTAAAACAAGAATTAAAACAGGGAGGGAGTACGGAAGACGGATAGTGCCACTCAATAAGTCTGAATATATTTTTTTGTACGTGTGAAAAAAAAAATTGTACAGCGGCCGCCACTTATTATGTGGCGGCCGCCACATAATAAGTGGCGGCCGCTGTACAAAAAAATATTTTCACACGAAAAAAAAAAAATATTCAGACTTATTGAGTGGCACTATCCGTCTTCCGTAAGGGAGTAAATAGTACGCATAAATGTATACATGAATTTATCTGGCAGCCAATAAGTCCAATTTTGTATAGAAATAACCATAACTAAAGGTCGGTGGATTTTTTCGTCCTATATCTCTTTCAAAAGTGAATAACTTTTATACTTTTGTTAGGAAAATAGCAATCGGTGAAAAACAAATTAATTAAAGTCGGTTGCCTCACTGGATTGTGTCATTTTTATTCAAGCAAAAGCGGTGACCGTGTCAAAGCATCCGTGGAATTAGTATAGACCGTTGCCGGATATGATCCAGGAGTATGCACAAGCGCGTTGCAATGGGAACCGGGCCGGCCCTGACGAGCACCTGCACCCCCCCCCCCCCCCCATCGGCAAAAACCATAAGTGAAAATTTATATATATGTGTTTTTTCTTGTGGCGCGCCCCCTAGATTGCACTGTGCCCCCCCCCCCCCTTCGCTCGTACCCCCCGCCCTGCAAACAGGACGCTGGGATACTCTGATGAATTTACGCTCTGGTTGGTTGGATTTTGCGTGACCAGTGACCTGCGCGTCATCAAGGTCATGATTCTGCATGGTTTGAAACGGCCGTTAAGACTGATTCATTACTCTTTTATTCCAGTATAGAGATGTTTTTTTTCTCGTTGAAAAAAGCGTAATAATGTAGGAAATTCTGTAAAACTTATCTGTGTTGTAAATTTACAATTCCCGTCACTCGCTCAGGCTCCGTTTCTAGTCACGAGCGGTCGGATTGCATTATGCGACGCTTAAAATTTTGTCCACATGGTCCGCAATGAAACAGAAATCACATCCGGTATGGAATGTGCGTAATTCTATGGGAAGTTTCGGATAGCATTTGAGCGCATTGGTACAGCTGCAGTCAAATGTTTTATACATAGGTCATAGGCCATTTCCTTCACAAGATTCTGTGAAGCTGATCAGAGTATCCCAGCGTCCTGTTTGCAGGGCGGGGGGTACGAGCGAACGCCCCCCCCCCCCCGGCCCCCCATGCCCGTAGCTAGCTGGCGACGATGCTGGGTATGCATTGAAAACCAACTTCTCCGACATTGCCGCGGCATTGATGAACATTGTGGACACCTTCCTTCGCAATTCGCTACTACTACTAGTTCTACCTGTGGCATAATGAAGCCATTCAGCAGCCTTAATTACCGTATTTGAATGACGTCTTTGTACAGGCTTTACATTTTCGTTCGCTTTGTTTCCACTCCACAAAATTGGTGGGCACGTTTCGGTATTTCGTTTCTGTTATATTTCGGTATACATGTATTTTAGGCCCTCATCAACTAATGCGAGTTTCAAGATTCGTGACAGAGTTTACGAAACACAACCGTTGTACCACCGACGATTATTTTGATGTTGAATGTCCAACATCAAAATTATATAAAATCTAATAAAAAGCACAAAGCCGCTAGAAGGACATTTAAAAGTCTTATCTCGTGCACACGAGAGAAATTTTGGTGATTTTTGAATGTTCCTTTAGAGGTTTCGTACGTAAAAACAAAAAAAAGGACAGTCTTTTTCCCGTTCTTCCAAAAAAACTCTTCGGCGGTTGTGTTATTTTTAAGTTTGCTGTAAACGCGCATTGTCGATGGGAGTTGGCTCGGATTCCTCTATAATATATCGTCTACACCCCGTGATCTCATCTCAATGGGGAAACACGACAGGTATTAAATATTTATGCAAGTAGGCATATTTCCACTAAAATTCCAGCAGGGTAACCATCATTTTCGGATTCAGCACCTCCGAATTTGGTAAAATATAGGCGTTACAAACTTCTACTCGGAAATCCCTCTTCTTGCCATAAATGGGCCTTTTTTTTTAATATCGCCTAATCTAGGGGTGCCGGAGCCTGGATGGGAGTGGCTCAGCAATACCTCATGACCCCAGATCAGCAAATGACTACAGTAGCAAAAGAAATATCCACGTTGTCTGTCTGTGATCATCGATGCTAATAACACCGCAGAACCATCCAAATGAATGTCTGTTCTGAACATTCTGACCGAGACCAAATACATACACTGCGCCTAGAATCACCGAGCGTTTGACATTAAAATTGTTAACAATTTTAGCACCCTCCTACTGCGTTAATTGAGTAGATTAACTAATTGGCAAGGTATTGCATGGGAGGATGACAGTAATACATGTACGAGCCGACTCCGGTGGAGGTAAAAATGGTCAAAAGCTACCTCAGTCAGTCAGCTTCGGTCGGTCGATCTGTCAGCCGGTCGGTCGGTGGACAAAAAGTGACACAAACGATCCGATATGCTTTGTTCACGTTTTTTTTATCCAATGTATATACTGACTCACTTCAAAGCTTTATAATGTCAAGCAAATTCACCCAAAATAATAAGAAAAACTGTCACATGCACATAGTACAAATAAAATATACATTAGGCCCCCTAGTTAAAAAATACAACATCATATTGATGTGATCAAGCTGCCAAACAAAACTGATGTCATTCTACGCTCTACAGTACAAATCAGCTTGAAGGAACATACAAAGTAGTACTGTGGGTATAACTGCAGAAAGTACATAACTAAATCGTGATCAAAAAGAGTTGATTCAACAATACACAAGATTTCGTGTTGATTTGGGTACGATTATTTTTTGGGGTGAAAATGAAAATCTCATTGAAACATATACACTAAGGATATTAATGAGTATCCTG